CCAACTTTTTTTAATGTAATCTGTTTGCCAGAAAAATCATGTTGGCCATGCCTCACTGGGAAAAGGTCTTCAGATTCCTCTTGAATTGTATCTTCCTTCGAAGATTGAAATTCTTTTGGGTTAACCTCTATACTCCAGATCTGTAAGAAGAAATTGAGGAGATGTAATGTTAGTTCATTCCACCATGCTTACAAATCTCAGTGGAAATCCCAGTACCTCCTGCTACTTTGTTGTTATTCATTGTTGTAATACAGCAGCTTTCATCACTTTCCTTAAGTTTAGGCTTAACTATAATTGTGTGTGGGAGGCACTCAAATATACTGTTATTCACAGTGCTTTATTGATTTCATAGATGTTCTTCTAAGAAGAAGAGATGGCCTGTTTTCTTTCCTTAGGTCTCCATATTACTAGTCCTTTGATATTTGGGCCATAAACACAACATGCATGGCAGTCAAAAAACAGAGATATTGCTTAACGTCAGAAAGATGTTGTATTTCCTTGTCCTTATCTGTCCATCACCTGTTCTGCGTATCACAACTTTTTCTTTGCACCCTTGCCCTTGCTTGCAGGTAGGCCAGACTCTCCTGTTTAGAGTCTGTGTTGCTCTACAGTGCACAGAAAGCCTTGCACACATGATCAGTATTTTCTTAGATAACCTGGTCATTTTTGTCGAAGCAATCCTGGTGTTTCCTGTTGTTTTTTTGTAGACAGAAGTTATGAAGTTAAGCTCCATTTTGGCTGCCTTAGTGTTGTGGACATGGACACTGACACAAACAGCCAGGTGCCAGTGTTTACATTATGGTTCTTCTCAGAACTGTGTAGAATGCTTGCAATATACAGCAGTTACAGTACCTTAGTCTTGTCAACTCAAGTGAGTGCAAATTATAAAATACACGAATACTAGAATAAAAATATTTCCAGGTCCTGTAAAATTCACTTCACAAGTGTCATGAATAGAAGAGCCTAAGGGGAAATCCGAAGGCTTGTATCCAAAGGGCCCTTTTGCCAGTCTAGCCCATTTGGTAGTTGGTAGCTAATTGAGTCAATGGTCTCATCTAGCCATTTTTTGAAAAAAAAAATTTTTTAAACCACGCAGTACATTGGCTTCAAAAACATGTCAGAGTACCCATAAGATAACATTAAAAAAAAAACAGACCATCCCCAAAATTTGCCTGAATAAGAAACCAGTGGGGTTCTCTGTGGTTTGAGAGCTATACAGTAGACCATTATTTTCTGCAGCACCATGCCCCTTGCAGAGCCCAGAACAATTTATTTTACTTGTAGTAAGGTGCACACACATGTCTCATTTGTTTTTAGGGAATGGAGGTTGTATTGTATTGTCGTGTATTGTCTTGTGTTGCCTTGTGGCTCTTACAAAAGTGAATTACACAAGTGAAATAGTGATCATTTAGAGAAAATAAGATTGCTTCAACAGATGAAAGGCATTACAGACAAAAACAAGGCAAAGCCTTTAGAATTGTCTCATGTCATGGTTGTACTTGTAGATGGATAATAATGTAGGAGGATTAAGATTTGTTGATTTGTTGAGATCTTATTTGTTTTTCTTTCTTTACCAATACACACAGACCTTACAGAGCTCATGGGTTTATTTCAAAAGGAAATCCCAGATTATAAATAGCTGTAACAATACATTATTATTGTTCACAGCTCTAGTGTTTTAATACAGTAATCACTTGTATAACAGTTGCTGACTGTTTTGAAATGTACAGTGTATGCAAAGCTTCAGTGTCTTGTGATTTTCTGTGTACAATGGGAAGTACTTGCTCAGAGTTTTGTAGTTTAATTTAATGAATATTGAATTGCTTCATTTCCACAACACAAAGGGTAGATTACGATGAAGATAAAGAGACATTTTATAGGTTTTAATAAGATATTTACTGAAAGAGGATAATTTATTTACAATTGTTTCAGTATGAATTTAATGTAGGAGTTTAAATATACAGTATGTACTGTATGGTATTTTTTATTGTTGTAACAAATTCCCCATTATCTAAAAACAATTATTAGAGTTATGCAACATAATATTATTTATAGTAAAGGAAAGTAAATATATTGTACATATCTAATTGTTGCTACAAACTAATTACTAAATAAGATGCACTGTATCACTCATATCAAATATCAAAGTCTGGTCCTGACAACAGTAGGCTATGCAAGAAAATTTATTAAAAATATCACTTATATACTGTACCCCCTATATTCATATATTTCTTTGTTTCTCCTGTGTGGTAACAAAATACTGTAATAAACAGGCAGCAAATGTAAAAGAAGTATAATATGTAACTATTACACAACATACTACTATTATTAGCTGATATTTTCAGATACTGCTTTCTACAGAAAACAGACCACACAGACATCCACACTGCAACTGAGACACAAGGACAGTAAAGGAAAAGAGGGAACACATGTCTTATTAATAAAAAGATCTCACTCAAGACTAAAAGCCTCTCTAAAATAAATGCTAAACAAAACGGAATCTACCGTATTTCCTTACTCAAAATACTACAAAACTAAATAACAATAGATTTTTGTTTGCCTGGTTCATAAGAAATTGGAATTTCCTACAAATAAAAAAATAAGTCCCTCTCGTAAGTCCAGTCTTTTTATTGCCCAAATGACCCTTCATTTTTTTCTGGACACTTGGTCTGTCAAAAGAGGTATGTTCTTACAGTGTCTTCTCTCTCCTCCCTGTTCTTTGTTTCTACAGTATGTGTACTTCTCTATAACTTCTCTAAGAAGGCTTATTTAATGATTTAATGCCAGTTGGTATTAGTCTGAGTTAAAATTAGCATAACTGTTTGGCCACCTAAATCTTTGGCCACTGTGACTAAACACGATAAGGAGGGTCATGCAAATCTTCTCAAGGCAGCGTTAAGATTTTTTTTTACCTTTCACAATAGGGTACTTTTGATTATAAGTTCAAAATTTCACATAAATAACATATACAGTTCATATAATGAGGAGTGAGTGTACAATACACTGTTACCTTTTGTTATATTGTCATACCAGAGGGGGTGTTTGTTTGGGTCACAGGAAAAGTGCATAGCAATGACACCATGCGTGAGACATCCCATCATGCCATCCACAAGACAAGGGCCATACTTATCGCTCATGTTGCGTGGGCTTAAGTTAGGAGAGGGTAACCCCTGTGGCCTGCTACTGTAGGTGTGGCTGCAAGCCAGAAGTGTTTTCAGAAACAGCCACTTCATTCCTCCACATGATCCTAACTCCACTGTAGATACTGCTGTAATTCTGTGTGAGAAAGAACAGACAGTACAGTACAGCTCAGACTGTACAGATTGATTCAGTGGAAGGGCACGCAGGCTTCATAAGCCTGATACAATGTTTGTGACATACCTGCAAAACATTGTATTTGTAGTCTAAATCAGTAATCCTAGTTGGCAATTTAGGCAGTAGATTTGTTTTATGCAGTAACAGTAATGATTGTATTCAGTTCAGTAATACCAGTTAGCTGGTATTACATTTACTAGTACTATTGAATTATCATGATAGTAGTAATACTGTTGCAAGACTGGGAGATGTTTTCAAGCTTGCTGCCATTTTGCCAAAATTCCCAACCCTACTGGAAGAGTGGTTATCAGCTTCTTGGAGCATCCTTTGAGCTGTACCTCAGGGCATGATCATTAATATTCATAGTAGTGAAGGCACGGGCAATCAGTGATAATTACTATTATGATTCTTATTTGTATTAATAATACATTTCAAAATGGAGGTTTCACCTTGTGCTTTCTCCCAAAATGGTACAGAAAAGTGGCATTCCTGACTAGATACAGTACAGTTCCAAATGGGCTAAATCATATTTTAATAGGATCTTTTAAGTACAAGACATCAATAGCAGATAAAATATTTCTGGCTTTCATACACAATGCTTTGATGTTTAAAGTGGCCTCTGTGTTAATTAAGCTTAATTTCAAATGTATTGATATACCTTTGTGTTTTTTTTTTCTGAGGCACAGCTGGGATTCCCAATGTGAACCTGACAAATTTGATTCACTTATTTTTACAATGTTTGTACATGTTTGTCAAATGTATTCAAATGTCCTTCTGTCATTTTGACCTTTCCTTGCCTACGAATTTAAACACTGTCATGCTGGTGTTGTCTAAGGCATAGTAGAAAGCATTAAACAGATGTTAACATTTACAGTATGACTAATAATGCTGAAACATATTAATGTTGACGTTCTCGCATGTACTGTTTTGATGTAATGGTGAACTATAAAGAAAGCTATAACCTTAATGAACCTTGTTATATATGTACTGTAGATAGTACAACTGAGATACAGTTTACTGTAAATCCAATAAAGGAAAAAAAAGGAAACTGTGTCTTATCAATTAAAAGAACCCACTTTGGACTAGACTAAAATTCTCTCTAAAATGGATACTAATCAAATGGGAACCTATTTCCTTATTTGAAATATTACAGTACATATATTCAGTAACTGTAACTATCTTGTATTTTTCTGTATATGATATAATGTAATTTTGATTTTTTTCAGTTGTAGGAAGCAGATTGTTCCAGAAACATTAAATAATATGGGTGCTGTTTGTATGATTGCCTGCTCTTTTCTTGTTTGATTAGTTTGTTAGCAAATGAAGACTGTTTTCTGCATTTCAACCTTTAGCATGGAAAATGCAGATTAGTACTGTATACTGACCTAATACTGTATAACATTAGTTTCACTATCATGATAAGCTTGTTGTTGGACTCACAATTCCGCTTCAGAGTGCACGAGGTGGGTCTGAGTTTCCAAGAGCAGTATCTTAAGAAAGTTAAAAAATGAGAGGAGGCCATTCGTCCTATCTATTCTGTTAGGTAGTTAGTAGTGAATTGATCCAGGCACTTCATCCATCCTTTCTTGAAAGGAGCCAGAGTATCGCCTTCAACAACATGGCTGGGCAGCTTGTTCCACATTTCCACAGGTCATATAAAGACTTTGTCTTCTCTGTCTTTGCAGACTTTGCAGGTGGACATTCGCAGATTGAATGTGACGTTGCTCCGAGCTTTCCGAGATGGGGTGGCGGCCGCCTTGGACATCTCACCTCAGCAAGTGCATATCAACCGTCTCAATGTGAGGACACAACAATTCTGATTCCCCACCAAATAGTCCACTACACATTAAGCTTAAGATGGATTCTCCCTCATTAAGCAAAGCACATAATTAAATGTTATTTTGTCCTCCCAAAAAAATTGTTTGAAATAAATTTTCTTCTGATTATATGATCATATTATGTATACATAATTAACGAAGACAAAAAAAGAATTGTCTCTCTCTCATTTTAACATAATCATTAAGACTTATAGCTCAATACTGAGTTTTAACTCCATGGAGCCAGGTTTTTGGAAAGTTATCATCGATGTTAATGACATGTTTAGGACATTGTGTCTGTGTTACCATGTATCAGATGAATGAACACACTTATTAGACACAAGCTCTCTGTAATTTTAACATGTAAACAAACTGAATAGGCTTTAAAAAGAGATGTTTCACTTTAGATTTGTATTAATAAGCTAATAAGCTAATAAGGTACAACAGAAAAAGTTATATACTTTCTAGGTTTCTTGCATTGATCCTTTGTTAATTTTCTGAGATGCTTCTCATATGCTTAGATAGTCTGACTTACCTACTGTACAATGCTTTAAATATGTTAATTTAGGTTTCAGTTAACTGGTGGATCAGCTTTTTAAATATGTGCTGGACCTTTTATAAACTAGGCAGCACTAAGATCTGTTCAAGTACAGTATAACAAATGGAGCCCAAGTGAGAAACTGTATTCTGCTTAGCTGAGTCAACTCTACATGGAGTTCAGCCTCTCAGAAGAGACCATATAATAGGTGGTCTACAAATTATAAACTGGCAAGTATAATATTTAGGATTTACAGTGTTTAAGCTGTTTCCAGGTGGTTTTGACAGATGGGCAACAAAAACACATCATGTGTCTGTTGTGGAATGTGGCTGGTGTGGTTTGAGGCTGAAGCATCTCGTGTCTTTCAGGAGAAAAAGAACTGCATAGAGCTCTATGTGTCTTCGGAGAAACTGGGCGAGGCAGAGCCAGTACCCTCGGAGGAAGTGATTCGGTCTCTCAATGTCAACATTCTCCACAAGAGCCTCTCCCAGTTTGGCATCACTGAGGTCACCCCAGAGGTAGGTACTGTACCTTCTCTAGGAGGCCTGCTTCCTGTTTCCTGTCATGCTGTCTTTAAAATGTAGTGTAAAAATAGATGCCTTTTATTTTACAGAGATGGAGGAGAAAGGGGCAAGGTACAGCCTGGATGTGGGGTGTAATTGGCACAAATGGCTAGAACAGAGAACAGAGTTTTTTTCTGATAGTAGGCACAGTGTTATAGGACAGTGGGAGTGCTGTAGAGGTGCACCTGAGTCTTTGTTAAATGAGACTAAATGAAATCATAATTGCTGTTCTTAGCAGATACATTAGTATTGTGGTTATTTTTGAAAGAGATAAAATGAGGAGCTTTTTTATCCCTTGATGATGTCCTTAAATTGTCAAAGCTTTTGTACAAATAAAACCTTTGTCTATTTTGTCTTAAGGTGTCTCCAAAGGTGTGAAAAGTGTGTGAGTAACACATTTTATGTGCTGTAAAGCCTTTTTAAAATGTTTTCTTAATTTGTACTTGCACTTTCAATGAGCTACTTCAGATTGAAATGAGTTATGTCTTCGTTAGTTCAGCAGTGGCCAACAGAGATTTTGTACAACTGTGCTAAATCCCTGTTAAAGCTACTATTGATACTTGTTTCTCTAACAACTTTATTTACATCCCAGTTTCTTTTTTCTGATTAATTTTTTTCTTATTAATGAAGCTACCAGACTCATAACACCATCACTTCCGATTCAAGTACAGTACGGAAAAAAACAAAATGGTATCCTCATGGGATGCCAAAACTGAAATTATTAGAAGAAGATAAAACTTTTGAAAACTGACACTGATAGCCAAATTGTTAATATACTGCATGTTATTTTTAATGGGACTGAGGTACTCAAGACATTTTGTATAAATATGAGTATTTTTTAAGACCTACTATAAATGTTAAACTAGCTACACACATTCACAAGGGTCAAAATACATTTCCATAGTAAAAGAATGTGGTAGAATTGCCTAAAGAGTCCTTAATCTGATCGGATTTGAGATACCTCCCCTAGAAAGGAGAATGGCCAACCATGAGAATGGTTTATGTCTTCAGAGGAAGTGTTAGAGGGCAGGCTTACTGTGCATTTACTGTATGTATATACAGTACAGTACAGGCAAGAATTTCTGGAGACATTGTTCAGGTGTCACCTTGTATTGCTTACGTCCCAGGATGAAAAGGCATATGCAATTCCTGCGACATTAGTTAAAGTTGGAAATGGAGCCCAGCGTCAACCATCATTCCAAGGGCATTTGTTCAAAATGGGTCAATTGCATAGGGTATGTACTGAATTCTAAATTAATTGCACACAGTGATGGCTTCTAAAATAATATTCCCAGATCTTTCGAAATAATGCACTGCAAATATCAGTCAGTAAAACCAGATCAACATTTATTAGGTCATTAATTTTCTTCACAGGTTGACATTAATTGCAAGAAATCAAAGTCACATGCACTGCTACATGTCACATGTGTTTTATGCCACCACTCAGAACAAAATGGAGCATTATTACAGTCAATACCGTCACTTTGGGGTAAACCTTAATATTTTCAATTGAGAGAACAAATAAGCAGAAATGGTTTCTGTTGCAATTTTTAAAAGCTGTTTATTATTCTCGGTTATTTTGGATCCAGCTCTTTTTTTTTTGCTGTGTATTTCCTCTCACTCTCAGTGCCATTGTTCTGTCCTGTTCTTTTTTAAGGCGTCTATTTAAAGGTTGTTGAATCCACTGCCTGGTGCAGATCTAAGAGCCCATGGGGGCACTGTGAGGGTGTGAAGGACAAGACCTCTCTTGGACTGACTCTTTTGAACCTCTGTTGGGATAAATCTGTTTAAATATGTTCTTTAATCACAGACAGTCTAATGGCTTAATTGAAACATATGCTTAAATTGGTTAGAAAACCTTGCATTTTAGCAATTTGTTGAGGTTTGTCATGTGAATTACTTTTCAGCCCCATGAAGAACATTGTACAGACCAGGTCATATCTCTCTATTTTCCTGAAAAACACAATTAATGCTCATAACTGATCCAAAACTGAATAAGTGAATATGGCTGTATACCATGACAAACAAACTTGAAGGTGGAATCTGGTTTGAAGATGTAGGATTGTGCAACCTCTGCAGTCGTTCTGATCCAATACAAGGTACAGATGCCCATTCCCCAAAAACCAACTTTAACAGCGTACCGGTATTTCATTTTTCAAGATCAACTAAAATGTATTTTGCTTTCACAATACATGTGACTGCTGCTGACTTCATTAAAGATTTAATGACATATAAAAATAACATATAAGAATGGTTACAAGAGAGAGGAAGTGATTCTTGCCTGTTTGGTAGTAGATAATTGATCCAAGAATCTAATTCGGTCATTTCTTGAAAGAACTCAGGGTACTGGCTTCAATAACATGTCTGGGTAGTGTAATGGTATGAATTTAGTAATTGTACTTTTATGCCTACTGGGAATCGGTCAGGCATTAGAAATGACAATCCAGACTTCCTCTGGCCTACTGTAAGTCTAGGCCAGTCTAGGCCAAATACTGTAAGTCCAGGGCAGATTTTAGACTGTAAGTCTAAGTCTAAAATCTAGGCTGTTCGGCCTGTTAAGGGTTCATGTTACTGACATTCCTAAGAAAATAACTCACAGGAGCTAAGCTGTGCCAGCTTCATTCTCAGGTCAAAACAAAAGATAGTTGATTATTAAAAAGGTTCTAAACAATTCTAAGTGTATGAAGGTCATAGCCTTGCTGCTACAGTAGTTTGTTCCATACTCCCACAACCCTTTGGGAAAAGAATTGCCTCCTGTTTTGGATTTATATGCACTTCCATGCCGTTTTCCTTTGTGCCCTCTGCTTCATATTTCACTTTGTTATGAAGAAATCTGCTGGATTGGTTTTGTCATTGCTTGTGAGGATTCTGAATACTTGTTTGCACTATCCTCATAATCGTCTCTGTTCAAGACTATAAAAGTTAATTTCCTTCAAGATGTCTTTTAAGTTCCAGAATGGAACCTGCTGCTCTTCTTTGGACTTATTCCACAGCAGCAATATTTTATCTGTTGTGTGGTGACAAAAATTGTACACAGTATTCTAAATGAAGCCTTACTAATACCTTGTATTAGTAAGTATCATTTAATTTACATTCTACATTTTAACTATATACAGTATCTATTTTGCCTTTTTAATTCATTTCCCACATTGCCTAGAAGATGTGAATGATGTATCAGTGCAAACACCTTAGTCTTTTTCATAAGGAGCCTCTTGTACAGTAGCGCAGCATTTCCAATTTGTACAGTATTTATAGTTTATTTTTACTACCTTCGTGCAAAACCCTGCACTGATTTACTTTAAACATACTGTAATCTGCCAGGGCTACAAAACGCAGGCCTTGTTTTCTATTTAATAATCAATACCAAACAATGACCATTTCCCTGAATACCTACTGTACCACCTGCAATTTGAGAATGTATTGCTTATGGGGAACATTATCAAAAGCTGTCTGAATATCTTAATATGTCTTATCACATTATCACCTATCACTTTGTGTGTCTATTACTGTTGTTGCTTGTTCAAGGAACTCTAACATGTTGGTTAAGCTAGACCTACTGTACCTGTACCTTATTTTAATCTATTTTTCTTTTATTTCCATCTATTTCCATCTAATATCTTTGTTTTAGTTCTATTATTCACATAACCTTACATGTAATCAAAGTCGAACATATTGCTCTAAATATTTACTTGATTCAGTTTTCTCACCCTTCTTATGGATGGGCACTTGATTAGCTGTTCTTCAGCCCATAGGTGCTGTCATGTTCTGGAGCAACTGTTGGAAGAGTTGTGTGAATCGCTTCTGCATAACATCTCTTGTTACCTTGATTACAATTACAAGTGCTTGGGCTTTATTAATTGTGATAGCTTCTACTACCTGAAACACGTCTGCCTCTTCTACAGTATGTAAATACTATTTAGTACAGAACTTTGACCTTCTTCTGCCTGTTATGTTGTTGAAATCTTCCTCAGTCTTTATATCTGTGTGCTTCTAAGAAAAGACTACAGCAAGGGTCTCTGGTCTTATGATATCAACATTTTAAAATTATAAAATACAATTTTAAAGATTTGATTTCTTATCCATGTATTTCTTTCAAAATTAACATAATTATTGCTACATGGCTTTCATTAAAAACAGTCTTGGATTATGCCATTTCCCACTGGAATGCAAGATGAATGAAGTGATCTCTCATTACTCATATACAGTGGTACCTGTAACATAGTGATACAGAGTGATTTCACATGGTTATGAATCTCATGGACACAATGGTGTCTGTCAATACCAAGTGGAACCATGTACAGTATGGTAGGTAGGGAAACAAAATTGTGTACTTGTGTACAGTGGATTTGAAAAAAATATTTGTATGGAGTGTTACTCAGATGTAACTATTCTATTTTCTGTAATTCATCAAGAACCATGTATTTTCATTAACTGCAAGTGATGAAGTTAATCATTAAATGTTTTGTATTGGAAAATATCCCATGTACTGGATTATATCCAATAACGAACACAGATTTTGACTGTTGACTCTTTACTTTTCCGTTTCTTTTTTCATTAACTTTGAATTAATAAAGTTGAAAAATGAGAGTACTTAGCCAAAAGTTAAATTGAAAAATTAAATTCTTTTTCAATTAAGGTCTCATTTTGCTTTGTAGTTGTGATTATTTAATAGGTTCCGAGCAGAAGCAATTTTTCAGCTGTCTTCTTTTTTCTCTATTTGTCATGCAGACAGCAGTTCCTCTACATGGTAAAAAGGGAAATTAGTGAGAATGGGCTTTTCAAATTACAAATACATTCTTTATGCTTTTATATAATTTATATAATAGCAAAATCCAAGGCAATGATCTATTCAGTCAACTAACTTTTGTCTGCGCTTCTAGATTGCACTGTTTGGCTTAGATTTATTTTTAATTAGTGGATTAGAAACTTGTCATTATGTTAAATTAATACACCTTTTTGTCTCTTCCTGAAAATAATGGGCAGTTAAGGGCTTATAAGAGGTCACACTACACCTAATCAGCTTTTAATTTGTGGGTTATCTATACATGCTTTGAAGTGTATCCTTAAAATTCATTGTTAACCAAGGATAAAAAAAATATTTAAGGAAAAATACTTTCTTTACTGGGAACGTTCAGGGAGAGGGTCTCCTTTGCTTCTTTTCAACACCCACTAAGACATACTGTAGAGGAACAATTTCTAAAATGTATTGTATTAGAAGAGAGCATACCGTCATAGGCTTGTGTGTACGGCATATTATGTATGCTGAATCTTGTGGTCTAAGGCAGTGATGGAAATAAGCTCCCTTCCCGCAGTGGATGCCTGCTCTCTACATGTTTTGCGTCAGCAAACAGGGAATTCCCTATTTGAGCATCTTCATAAGCAGATAATCTGTCAAGGCTCACCGCTGCTGTAGGTTAGTCCAAGGCTGGTTAAACCTCCACCACCTCCACGCTTATGCACACTGAGCTACAGTATTTCTTGCCTTGGGCTTGCAAGGGGGCTCTTGTACTGTAAACAAGACGCGGGAGTCCTTTTCCTGGTTTCCCCCTCACCTCTCTTGCCACCTGTTGGCCCCCGGTGTGGGGGGAGCCCAGAGAAGTGGAGGCAGGCCTGTGTGGTGGGGGGGGGGTGCTGGGAGGTGACAGGGAGCAGCTGCACCGACAGGGCTCTTTTAAAGTGTTTGCCTCCCCACAGCGGCTCTAACCATGTTACCTGACAGAGTGTGTTTGCTTAGCTCCAGGCCAGGACATTAGAGCACTATTTTTGAGCACGGCTCAAAAACGCTCTGAATTCCCAGGCTGTATGAGCGAGAGGATTGAGTGGTCAGGAGGCAGAGCTGTCGCAGGTGGGCAGACACTGCAGGTAGACAGGAATAGCTCCCAAAACAACACAACTGGAAGCTTTCAGCCTGACTTACGACAGATTACGGTGCTCCACTAACTCCCTGCTTCTTGTTCTTCGCTATAGAAGAATGTGCTGCAGGGACAACATGAGAGAGACAACGTGTGGACCAACGAGGGATTTTATGCTGTGGTTATTTTTCTCACCATCTTCGTGATCATCATTACCTGTTTAATGGTAAGTCCTGCTTTTGTTTTCAGATTCTAAGTCCAACTGCCACCTTTTTCTATATTTGTTATTACCGGGTGTGTGTTTTGAGTACATTACTAGATTGTTTTAAGCCCCAGAGCATGCTGGCAAACAATATTGAAGTTGGAGAGCTGTGATTTTTTAATGTCCTCCGTTTATACTTTGTTGTTATTTAAATGATCCTCTACGGACTAATGGAAATGCTTTGTCTTAATTCTATTTATGTTACACAAAGGATGGATTTCAAGAGGGAGCATACTGTAAAGTTCATGTTAAACAATTAGTCGTAAGGTAAATTGGTTGTCTGGTGGAAGAGCGGAGGGCTGCACATCAGTGGTGAATGAAGTGGGTCACCTCCTGTAAGTGAAACACTTTGACATAGGGTGGAAACTGGGATGATAATGGCTTGAAAAGTTATTTCTAAAAAGAAAAAAATATTATTAACAACCATATTTGAAACAATAATTTTTCATCATTAAAAGATTTAATACAAGTTTTTCTTTCATATTTGCTGTCTGCAAAGTAACACTTATGCATTTTCTTACTGTATATTCAGGTCAAAGTGTCAGGACAATTGTTCCATTTTAATGCAGTGAACAGTAGCATTTGGAAAGGCTGAACATTTCAAAATGATGTAAGGCTTTCAGGTTAGGGCATCAATATAACTCTGTTTGTTTGAATCGAATTCAACAAAGATGGAACAGGTTATTAAAAGTCAAACTAAAACAGTCTGTAGTCAGTGTGTATTGAGTAAAGCAGTGAGTCTGCCCAGGTTAGAGCACTATTTCTTAAAGCTTTGTATGTACTGGACAGTGAGCCTGGGACAGGTATCTTTCTTCATCTGTTGTCTCCAGATAAAACATCTTCCTGGCTGCTGTTTGAAAAAGATATGTATTTGCAGCTTTGAAAAGCCTCTGCTCTTTTTGCACCAGAATCTCTTGATTTTTGCCCCCAAGAGCAATGTAACATAATCTGTGTCCTGAATAGATATTTCAAGTTTCAGAAATGAATGTTAAACAGTGTAGGTTTGTTTATCATTATTACAGAGAAACAGTCAGGGTCTTCTAGGAAGACACATCAGGGCACTGAGTTTATTGTAAGGGTGGTGACTTACAAGTAATGTCCCTGCTAAAAGGCTTACTTGCTGTCATTATCCATATTCATAAATGTCATTGCAACCTCATACTATACATTCTGTTATTAACTTACAGTACATGTTAGTATTTGAAAGTCATCTGATCCTGAAGAAGGAAATTATGACACCTTAATTGTACTGATTTTTGTAGTCTTAATTATATATCTACAGTACATAATATGATACTTAATTCATTTATTATTTTGTTTATTTACTTTTGTACAATTTATGGAGAGTTTTGTCTTTTAGAATTTGCCCTTGACTTCTTTAAACAACTCCAATATTTTTAAAACGTGAGCTGGTCTACCGTATGTACAATAATATGTGAGGGCAAAAACAGACTCTTAATGCCATCTCATGTTTTCATTAGAGGACAGTGAGGAGATGTCACAAAAGTTGAAATGTAGTGTTAGGGTCAAGCTGAATTATCTTTTCCTTCATCTTGTTAGAATTGGATCTAAATATTTTCAGTAAGGTGAAAACATTATTTTCTTTTCATATTTCAAAACCAGAAAATGTTATTAGAAAAGTCCTACACTGAGAGGCTAAAAGAACTGGAGCTTTTTTAGACTTGAAATGAGACAACTACAAGGAGACCTGATGCCAGTATTCAAAATCCGAAAAGGCAGAGACTTCTTTGGAATAAACACTGAAATAAAAAGCAGAGGAAACAAGTGTAAGTTCAATCGAAGTGCATTTAAAGCCATGAACAGTGAGAAGGTCTTTATGTAAATGGTCATGGATCTATGAAACAAGATACCTAGTCATGTTGTTGAACCTAATACACTGGCTTACCTCAAGAAATGGATAGATGAGATCCTTGGATCGGTAATCCACTAACTACCAAACAGGTTAGATGGGCTGAATGGCCTCTTCATTCAATCAGGCTTCCTTCTTCCATCTCGATTCAAACAATGATGGACAGAGTTCTAAAATAATAGTGAGATATACTGTAGTAGTTCAGGTGGGTAGTTGCGTCAGCATGCGTAGGCTGCAAAGGAACAAGTAATAGGTTTCTTCCATGCTGAAAAGAGAAGGCTTGACACACCTGAAGAAGGCTCTACGGCCGAAATGTTGTGTTTTCTTTTTTCTCTTTTCAGCATGGAAGAAACCTATTACTTGTTCCTTTGGAGATATAGTGTAGTCATACAGCATTTTTATGAATCCTGAACAGCACAGCATGTCCTTCACTTTACTAGGAATATGAGCTTCAGTTTTACAGCATTAACTACTGAAGGACCACACATAAAAAGATTTATCTTTTAGGAAACCAAATTTACACAGGAAAAAAAATACACTATATATTTGAAATTTAGTGCATAAGGAGCTGGATGTAACATCTTGCTTGCCAATGATGATGAGATAATATGACTACTGTACAAATTAGTAATATAAATATGCAGAAACAGCATTTGTAATATCAGGAATATACACCTGAAATACCTGTGCATCTGGATCTCTGAATGCAAGAGTTTAAATGGGTCTTGTTAAGGTGTATTTGTAGAGATACACAGCACTAATCTTAGAAGATTGAGATAAGCACTGTAACCTTCCAAGATATGTGCTGTATCTTGTTTTGTCTAGAGCTTACACAACTAATTAAAGACTTACTATGGTATAATTGTACTTCTAAAACTCACACTTCACACAGCATTGGCTCACTCTGTAAGCTATACACTTGGGATCAAGTCAAACCATTTAATCAATTTACATAAGCAGTGCAAATGTCACAAACTCACACCATAAATAAGTCCAGGTGGTCTGAGGTTAAACCCTCAAGTAATACAACTTTTGAGATATCTTACAAAACCGTTACTCAAGCAGGAGGGACTCTCAGAGTTTAGGTTTAGGGAGACAGTGCTATCCCAAGAGGATAAGCTTTATTTTATAGATTGTATGATTCTGTTTTCCATTATAGATCTGTTTAATTTAATTCTCCTTGGCACTGGTATAAACATACAATGACATACAAATGCTGTACTGTATGTCCGACTGGGATATTTGTGTGGTGGAGTGACTCAGACAAGGGGGAGGGGGAGGGATTTTAGAAGCAATAACCATCATGTATCTCCATTTAAGCCAAGTTGTCAACATCATTCCTTGTTACAAGAAATGTACAGGGCCCAGGTGCAATAAAAAAAACACTTGTGACATACAGTATGCATAAAGCACAGGCTACCTATTTGGCTTGTTGGAGTATGAAAGAAAACAAGGACTTTATGTCAACAAACTTAAATACCTGTTTACTCAGATATTTGAGAAAACAACCCAGGCCAGAAGAGTAAACTGGGTTATAAAGATATGAGCCCACCATGCTTTTTGTCCATTCTGAATAATGGAATATAAATTAAATGTGTGGGAGGACCAGTACTCCCCAATATCACCTGTTGTCCATCCTTCCCTCCTATCAAGGCTTTTTCATTAAATATCTGAATATATTCCAAAATAGAGCCCCTCCCTCTATCAGAGCCTTGTGAGGTATTTAATGAACAAGCCATGCTTGCACCAATAGTCCAGACAGTTGACCAGAGATAAGTACTGTATAGAGAGATCCATGCCGCTGATGTCAATTTGGGCTCATTTACTCATTACTGCTCTGGAATTTATCCGGAGAAGAGCAACCAGATGAATTGTGGGACTTCAAGGAATGACCTACACTGACAGGCTGAAATAACCGAGCCTTTTTAGTCTTAAACCAAGGGGACCTAATTCAAGCACAGTATTCAAAAGCCTGGAAATTATTGACAAAGTCAATCCAGAGTAATGGGGTTGCACATTGGTGGTGGTGGAGGAGAGTCCCCATTACCTGCAAAGCGCTTTGGGTGAAGTTTAATACTATTATTCTTCAAACATTTAGTTGAAACTAAAGTGTGAGATCCTTGGATCAACTAACTACCAAATGGGCCAGATATACAGTATACTACAAAGCTTGAAAGGCAGTTACTAGAAACACGGGTGATCTGAGCCTCCCCGATTGATCCGCCAGGTCTTGTACCGGCTGAAAGAGAAGATTGAATTCCCCGATCGGCAGTACAAGGAGCAGAGCCGGGAGATCCACCTCACCCCCATCCCCGTCCACACCAAGGAGTCCCAGCTGAAGACTGCCAACAGCATGGTGCAGCCAGAGCTGGCGCCCAAGCCTGCCAGCATCGGTGCCGATCCCCAGTCCCAGTCAACGCCAGAGATCAAACCCTGTCTGTCCGCCAGCCCCTCTCCCTTCAGGATGAAACCAGTGGGCCTGCAGGAAAGGTAAGGTCAACCCATTAAGCATTCACTTTACACAGCATGGAATAAAGGCCCTTGTTGGTGACAGGAAACAAGTGGAAGAGTTCATAAACAGACATGCTAATGAACGTAGAGCAGGGTTGTTAAATAAATAAGAATGCTGTAGCCTACATCTGTGTGAGACATCTTTACCATTGTAGCATTTTAATAGGGGTTTCCTGAACCGTTCCTACATTGAATTTCTGATCACTGAGAGTTTAATCTGAAAGTTTCTTGCATGAAAATCCAGCAGTGGAAGATCCATTCCGTATGGGTTGGGTTATAAGTCAACAGCATGCTTGTTAATGTGCTGCACTGCCTTCCTCCTCATCCCTGAAGGTCCCTGACTTCTACTCTGTTCATACTGTATCATTCGAGAAGAATGACACATTCACAAACAAATGGTGTTTGCGGATTACACATGTAATCCTGACCTCATTATCCTATGTGGCGGCTGATATTGGTTTTTCCCTGTACACCCTCATCCATCTGGTCTGAAGCAATTCACACCATTTGAGCACATGTTTCACTGACATCTTGTTTCACTGAGTAATCTTGTGGTGTCAGTCTCCTGTGAATGAGCAGTTAGACACCAACAATAATCAAGAACCTGATGACTCGTCACTGCTGAATAATAGTGCACTCTTGTAGTGGGGCACATACTGTATTTTTATATTACAAATACTAGTGCTAGATTTAATGCTTGGTTCTAGATTTTAAGAGGCAAACAACGCTTGCTAATTCAATATCCCACTTAATACAACTGCATTTTACTCATGGGGTATTGCTGACAGTAAAATTTATTGACATTTTTAATTCTAGGCAAATGTATATCTAGATTATGTGTATATTCATGGAAGAGTATATTTTTCTACACCTGTTTTTATTTGGGAAATTATATTTCAGAAACATATATGTCAGAATAACCCAATTTATCAAGTCCCAATTTCTCAGACTAGTTATTAAATCTTGGTAACAAAATAAATTAATTGGGGTTATAGAAAACAATTACACATTTCAAAATAAGCACATAATCGTCAATCAAATATTCAAAATAATCAAAAATCAAATATTTCTATTGGATAAAAGAGATGTATTCACAAGCCTACTTGTTGCTTTGTTCTAAATCACATAACATGACACTGCTCATAACTGGACATTTGGTCTATTTTTTATGTACTGTATGTTGGAGGGTTTACAAGTTACTGTGTACATTTTACTTTTATCGTGGTTTGAAATGCACTCATCAATAATCCTAAATATAACAATAGCATTGCAGTTCCCCTTTAAGTATGGTTCATGTTGCAAATAATAAAAGGGGCCAGTTGTGCAGTGCTTTTTCCACAGGATGGAAAACCAAGGTGTTTCATGTTTGGAAAAGAGGTCTGACCTAACAGTGTGGTTAAGGGGTTACACGGTAACCTTGCAGGACCTGAACTTGAAGCTCAGGACTTTTGAGGTCACTGCTTTGGATGGGGATGGTTTAAGAGGGCTTATCCTGAAGGCTGGAGATAAAAGTCATGCTGAGCCACCAACACCATTAAAGGATTTGCTTTGAACCAAGAAGCTCAACTTCCAAAAGAGAAGACTTTGAATGTTTTACATCTGTTTTATCTCTTTTGTATTACTATTATTGTATTATTGAGGATAAGGAGTTAATTTCATTGTAATTGTTTTTTTTTATTTTCTTGGGGGGTGGGGGTCACCTTTTAATGCACAATGATCACTACAGTATTATTAGGGAAGTGTGTGTAGAATTATTTTTGAACAATCTACACACACAACTACTTTTTATGATTTGGGCTTATTAATGATTTGTTCAGATGTAGAGAAATACGTCTAGAGTTACTGCATTCATACGGATTAATTTCAAAACAAGTCAAAAGGAGAAACAAAAAAAATATTTTCATTTCAGTTTAATATGAAGTTGTATGATAAATTAAGCAGATAGAATAAAGCAAGGCTACTGTATATGCCCACTAATTCTGATAATACGATTTAATGGAAACCATGGCTCCAATTCAAAGCTACAATTTAAAAAAATAGTGCTGATGGTGCACTGTATTCTAAAATATTTTAACAATTGTTTATTACTTTAAAGTATTGAATAGAGAAAAAGATATGATTAGCCAGCCTTCTGTATGGGGAAGATGAGACAACCAGATTTTGATAACTTGTTGTGAATGCAGCTGTTTGTTGTATTAAAACCCAACATTTCAGGTCCATAGGCAGATAGGGAAACTGTGACACCTAGTGCTGCATTCAGGGATCACATGAATTCTTACTAACTCTAGGAATCTATTACAGAAAACTGTGTGTGTGGGTGGGGGAGTTAAGTTCTCCTACAAAAAAACTTTATCCCGTGCATTTGGTTTCGTTCTTTTAAAAGAGCTGGCCATTTTCAGAGGGTTATTTTCTGATAAATGAATGAAGTAAACATTATTAGCCTGACTTACTGCCTCAATATTATAAAATATAATAATTAGAGATGTGTAATTGTAACTATATATTTTTTAAAGTACACTGCTCATTGTATACTGTAAAACAGATGAAATCCTTAAGGACAAATGTACTGTATACTGATGGAAAAAAGAAACGCAACACCTCCTCCTCCACACTCTGCGTGGAACAGGCTGAAGAGTGACTCATCTGTGAAGAGGACCCTGATGCCACTGCTGATGAATCCATCACAGCCTCTGTCTGGCCCAAGCCAGTCAGGTATGACGTCTAGGAGGTGTAAGCAGAAGGCCTCTGACAGGTTGCCTTGCTCTAAGGCCAGCAGCATGGAGTGTCACTGTCCTGTCACTGATGCGGGCATTATGTCTGCCGGCAGTTTCAGCAGCAGTGCGGGTGGCAGATCTGAAACGATCTCTCAGATGGACCAGTCTGATGTGTCGGTCCTGCTCTGCTGTGGTCACTCGAGGGCGACCGGATCTTGGACGGTCATCTGTCCTGCCAGTCTGATGAAACCCTCTCTGCAGTCAGGACACAGTGGAGCGGCTTACTCCATAGTGTCTGGCAACGTTGGCACATGACATGCCTGCCTGCAGCATGCCAATGGCCCTCTCTCTTGCTTCTGGTGACATTTGAGGCATTATGGAATGCACAGAAAACTGACTAAGTGTGGCCTTTTCTTTGCAGTGACCTAAGCTTTGAATTAAGGCCTTTTTAAAGGTGACCTGATCAGGCATTGTTCTACTTGGACCTTGTTGGGTAAAAGTGCACCTAACGAGCTTTCCTGTGATTGGCAAGATGCAATGCCTCAGTGCACAAGCTGTATTGCTGGTCAGGGGGCTTAAAACAAATTGACAGCTTTTTGTGAAAGTACATAAGCTATAACTATAGTATTCTCATTCCAGAAAATGTTACGTTTCTTTTTTCCATCAGTATATAAATCCTTTAGGATTTGGTAGCTATTCTTCAGGGGATGTGCTTCAGAGCCTTTTCTATCATTGTAGGTGACTTGTATAACAAATGCATTTCTGTAAACACAAATTTACATTTTTCTGACAAAAGCAGACATTCCAAGCAGCTTGCTGAGTATGAGGAGGCATTTACAGTAGCTACCATGACATCTTTTAAGTAATCATTTTGCTGACATTTGTTTTCCAAAGCGAATATCAGAGGTTAAGACTTCCTACTTTTTAATGTACAGTATGCATTTTATGTCCTTCCATACACAGAGCATACAGCAGAAGTGATTGCTAGAGACAGCTTTAAAGGTCCGTTTATTTGTCATTAACTGAAAGATGTTTTTTACCTAAAAATTAAATTAATTAAAATGAGTGCTAGTTACTCATCTGTTGGTGCGAGGATGTGTGAAATATGGGACTGAAGTGGTACATTTGAGCTCTGGTGTTTTTGTGTTTCCTGTCTGAATCATCACAGTGCTCAATTGTTAAGAACACAAGAAAGGCTCTAAGAAACAGGAGTGTATTTTAGTATTGTCCTCAGTCTCTGCCACTTTGTGGTACTTATGGCATCCCATGCTGACAATGCTCTTCCTGTAATAACGAGGGAGAAGAATACTGTGGAAGCATTTGTCTCACTGCAATCAATACAACATGGAAAAAGAGTACAGTAAATCGATTATACTGACTCAGATATAAATGTTTTATGCTAAAATTCCAAACAACACATTTTACTATTCCACACTTTTTATCTCAACCGTAAAATGATCACAAAATACAAAAAATGAGCTGTAATCTGACCAGTATTTTAAATCCATTAGCTGTCGCAGAAAGTCAAGGCTACAAAGCAAATGTGACTTCTTGGTGATGAGACAGATGTCTGGTGTTCAGATGTTCTAACACAGTTCTCTGTGAGATTACTTTGTGCAAGCATTTACATTTGGATTGATTCTGCAGGCTATAAAGACCCGTTCCCAAACATACAGTGAAAAGCATAAGTACTGGGACATGGCTAAATATGTACAGTATGTAAATTAATATCCAGAAACAAAAGCTGACATTCTGTACTTCTTCCTTATATATTTTTTTATCTTAAATACAACTTCCAATGGTGTACTGCAGAAATAACAAACTTCACTTCACTTTCCCAATACTTAATTCACTGTATAAGCTTTTAAAGTTGTCATACAGTACATTGTCATTTTGAATTGGATAGTTATTTTTATGCAATTTATAAAAATATACAACAAATGATCACTTCACACTTTTGACACTTGAACAATTCAGAGATCTTCATAACAGGGAGACTAAATTAATGATTGCATAGTGTGTTACCCACTTTAAGTCGTGTTACAGAAAAACAACTTGTTAACAAATCCTGATATTCAATTCTTTGTAGTAATTATTTAAAGTTATTATCAAGGGTGAGAGATTTAATAATCTTTGTAACTGGGTGGAAATTTTATTTCCTGAACACCACAGTTCTTTACATCGATTAAAATCAGTTCCTGTGTAGTTTTTGAATATTTTGAATCTAAATACTTCAGTACAGCTGCTGGTTGCATTACACAGCAA